CTGAAGCAACTGGTTGCAGCCTTGTTCGTGATTGGTTGGAACATCGTCTCAACGACGCTTATCCTTTTAGCTATAAAGCTGTTCATGCCTCTAAGAATGCCCGACGACGAGCTGATGATCGGAGACGACGCAGTTCATGGAGAGGAAGCCTATGCTCTTTGGGGTGATGGAGAGAAATATGACCCAACAAAACATGGTTGGCATGCATCATCTTATGGGGAAGATGCAGGGCAAACTAGGTTTGTTAATGGTGCTGCTAGAGGTGTAACCATCAATTTGTAAGACTACATAATCATCTACAAGTGCAGGTATACATGTATAGTATTGCTTGTATTGTCACAGGAGCTTTAGGTACGTGCTATTGTAGATAAATTTTGATTGTGCAAGATTGATGATACACAATATCACACATCAGTTAAAGAAAAGGACCCTCCACACCATGGTTTAGTAGTTAAAGTTGAATATGGTTGAGAGGTCGATTCAAACTCAACTCAAGTTATAAAAACCTCCTCAATTTAAGTTTAATTTGAACCCAAGTTCAACTTGAAGGGATATCAATATTTATATAATTACACACGGGTCGGAATTTAGCTTCAATTCCTGGATTGATTCTTAATGGTTTAATTGTTTAGTTACACAACTCAGATTACAATTTGTATTCAATTCAAGTTGAATCTGAGTTCCAATAATTTTGGTTGAATACCAAAATCACAAAACTACTCCAATTCAAGTACAACCCAAATTGAGATTTTGTCGAGATTTTTTCACCCAAGTTCAATTCAAAAAATAATGTTATTTAGACTTAAAAATTTAATCTTATTTGTTGACCTGTTTCATTATGACATTTGGATTGATTGTGGGTCCCATTAAACATTGAAACTTGTTATTCATCCAATAATTTCAATGAATTCACGTCATCATGTTAGCAAATAAGATTAAATTTTTAAGTCTAAATAACATTACGTCAATATAAATCGAACAATGATATTTGAACCTAAAAATCTACCTTGATTTACTGACCTAATTAACCATAACATTTGGATTGATTGTGAGACTCATAAAACATTAAAACTTACTCTTGATCCAATGATTTCAATGAAACCACATCATCATGTTAAGAAATCAAATTAAATTTTAGGTCTAAATAACATTATAAAAAATTCTTCCCAAATACTAAAAATTTTAGGTTGGAATGAGTTTGGTTTGATTGACTCTCTTAAGTTACACCCGAGCCAGAGACGCTGTCAAGCACGTGTATGGAAGTCTTGATTTAAGTAATAACGACATCAAATGGTGGCCAAGCAATATTAGACCATTTAAATCAAAGAATAGAAAGTTCTCCAATGCGTGTCGATTATAATTGATCTGGAAACTCAAAACCGAGAGAAAGAACCCATTTGGTAAATAATGTCAGCTGTACAAAGAGGTTCATCAAGACTCATCATTGGGATAGTAAACAGCATATACCATGGTACCGTCGAGGAAGCTTCTAGAGATCTACAATACCCACCAACTTTGGACTATGGGTTCCAGAAAGAGAGACTATATGATTAGTTAGCCTCCAATTTCAACTTTTATACTTTTGTTTTAACATTCTTGTTTTAATTTCTGGCTAACACTAACCATCAATTCTTCTAAATTTCCAAACAAAATTGTCAAAAATTTTGTATCATCATGTGCTTAAGATGGATGTGTGGTAAGCGTAGAAAAGATAGAATTAAGAACGAACATATTCAAAAAAAAAAGTAGAGGAAACACAAATAAGAGATAAGTTAAGGAGAATTCGACTTAAGTAATTTGAACATATTTATAAATAGCGTACTACGACACCGATGAGAAAGTGTGATATGATAGTTATTGAAAGCAAACGTAAGAGTAAAAGGAGACCAAAATTAACTTTAAATGAAATAGTAAAAAAATATATGATAACTTATGGTTAACTGAAAATATCACCCTTGATAAAACTTAATGACGGAATTTGATTCATGTAACCGACCCCAAAAATTTTGGAACAATTTTATTTAGTTGAGTTGAGTTTGAGTTGAGTGTATGCTTAGGGCATTCCCACCAAGGTTTAGTGGGTCTTAAACATAGCATGTGTGAATTTTGTACCGGTCCATCTCTATTGTTGTTGAGCCTTTGTTCATGATTACCAGTGTCACAACCCGAATCAGCTAAGCATGTGACAGGTGTTACTTTAATCCATGAAACATTATAATAGAATAAAAAGTCGTAGCGTAACATAGCAAAATAACCCACAATATACAAACCATAAATTATTGTATAAATGTATGCATAACTAACATACACATCTACTCCTATTACAAACTATAATTCCATTAAATACACGTTACACATTAGGTTTTCTTTTATTCTATTACAAACTTCAAATACGTCTTCAAAAGTTATATAGAAACTTTGGCAGATTACTATGTACAAATCTCACAGTATTCTCACATCTAAAATGGGAAAATAATATAAGGTGAGCATCAACAGCTCAGTATAATAACTCAATTTCTAAGCCAACAAGTTTGAAAATAGCATAGTTTATCAAGATTGGGCAAAATCCAAAAGAGCATTTGATACATATATGTCAGCAAAAACATCATTTCATGTGAAATCGTAACAGTTAAATAAAACTAAAAAAGAGCAAGTATAGAAATTCAAGTACAGTGCTATATTGATGGGCAATTCATCCTAATAAACCACTAATGGTCCATACGAACATACGTTCCAACCTTTTGGGGGACTTGCACCCCGAGAAAGATACGCTCCCTAGTCAACATTTAGTATCCAAGTCCGAAGACCAATGAGTCACCCAAATATCTACAAACTCAATGAGCACCCTCTTCGACCTCAAACTGGAATGTAAACCCTTTTAGTACTCGACATGTGTGCACTTATATTTCCTTTAAAAGGATCCCAAAGTTTCATTCAATACGAGTAATTCAAGAAATACGATCATTTCCAAAACATTAGAGCAAACCGCACTCAAAAACCCTAATTCGGATCCGAATCCAAGTCAATATTTAAAACACTCAATCATATATTTCAAAACATACTAAAACATCATAAATAGCATATGAAATAATTGAAAATTAAGTTAGAAAAACATCGCCAGTTCCAGAATTGAGAAACCCTACCCGCTCGGTATTTTGATTTGAAATAGCCAAAAATTAAACAGTGTTATGTTTCGATGATATTTAACCCACATAATCCATTTAACTAATTATAAATGAATATAAAATTTATTTGGAAAAAATATCCCCAAACAAATTGACTCCGGAAGCCAAAAAGTCATTTTACTCCTCATTTTGATCTGACCGTCGAATCGAGTTAAAATTTTACCAGAACTTCCGCACGGATGGTACAGAGCTTTTGGAACCGACCAAAGGTCGGTCAGAAGTTGAATGTGCCCTCATGCGTCGATGGGGTGCACTAATGTACCTCCTCCTTCATCTTCTTCGTTCGTCACCTTGACCAAAACCCTAGGTTCCTTCCACCAGCCCTAACCCTCTTACTTCTCACTCTTATTTCTCCCTACTCAGTGTACCTTTTCACCTAATTTTTGAACCTAAATACTCACCACACATCACTCTAACAAACCCCATAATTCTCGAGCTTCGAATTAAGCTTAAACCCCTAAAAAAAACCCGATCAAAGTTAACCAAAAATAAGGTTTTTAGTTTATGGTCAAACCTGCAACTTGCATTTTAACTATCTTAACAACTTCTAAATCTATTTCTAAGGTAACCAATGGATTCCTAAGATCCATTTTAGCTAAGTGCAACCTCCCATTCGAAGCTTAACCTCCAAAACAAAGAGATCAAAAACCCACCATGGTCGAAACTTCATCACCACCACCCCACCACCTCCAACCGGGGCAAGTTTTGAAATCGCCACCAAAGTACTCATCTACCTGTCCTCAACACAGTCATGGCAACTAATTTAATCAAAATGATCTCAAACTCAAAACTCATTTCATAAAAACCTAGAACCTGAAAATTTAAAACATAAATTTTAGCAATTGTAGTACATGAAATAAAATTCTAATGATACCAGGAGATTCCTAACCCTCAAATTAGTCTAATATCATACCTCTAATCGTTCAAAGTAGCCTCTTCCACAAATCTAAAATTCCCAAATTTAATTTTCTCTCTCTAGCTTCTCTCTTATCTCTCTCCTCTGCTGGCGGTCCAGAAACATTCTGGAGGCTTGGAGAAGGTTGGTGAGAGCTCTGCTGCTATCAAGCAACAACTTGGACATGGCTTCCATGCAAGGATAGTTTGGTAATTTCACAAAATTCAAAAATTAATTAATTTTTTTAAAAAAATCAAATATACATTAAAACCTACCCAAGAAAATTATCCATTTAATCTTTAGGGTTCTACATCAACCCCAATTTCATTTTTGAATAACAGTCCTGTACCCCTAACTCTCGGATACACCATAACCCTAGTTTGTCAGTTATGTTTCCTATATTGTTCCCTCTTCACCAGATATCTTCCTACACCTATCAAACATCCTAATCACTCTTCACCAGATATCTTCCTACACCTATCAAACATCCTAATCATCCTCAAATCACCTACACACCATTCCAGAGTAATCGATTCTTCAAATTCCCAATATTCAAACCCCTATTGCACATACTCTCAAATCCCGATCCGTATTCTCATTAGCGAAACTTTGGTTATTACAACCAGACTTGAGATTTTTGGAGAGAATTGATCGCAGAATCTCATGCAGAGAACAAAACCCAAGTGAATTCAGCTACAAGCTATTGATGGTACATGTCTGAAAAAACCATGGTTGCTGACTGCACAACTGTCCCAAACTTTGAGCTCGTTAGGTGATTTCTGAATCCAACTGGTTTCTTGGACTCCAGGTCCTGTTCAGGTATGGGCAGCACTTGTAATGGATATAGCTTCAGGAACTATTCCTTGGAAGTTTCTATTACTGCTCAAGGTTAGAGGACTCTGCTCCTCCAACCCTCTGTATCATGTTTCTCTCCCAGTCCCGACCCCCAAGGTGCCTTCTATGGCGAAAAAGGCAGAGTCCAGTTTCTGAAGCAATTCGAAGGTACTAGTTTTATACGAGGTTGGAAGGGCAACATCCATTATTCTTGTCGTCATCAGGGTTGTATCCCCTTTGAATATCTGAGGAAGAGCTAAAGATTGGAGATGACGCAGCTCATGGAGAAGCAGCCTATGCTCTTGCTGGTCAAGGAGAAAGGGAAATATCTAAAAAGAATGGAATGCAAATCGTGTAGAGGCTATGTTCAAAGAAATTTACCATACATTCTCAATATAAAACACACGAAAGGCAATCCAAGCACTACTCAATACAATTGATTGGTTCAATCAGGTTGAAGCAGATTCATATGAAAAAGAAAAAAATCGTTGCTTAAACTAAATGTAATTTCCCTATCAGTCACAAGGACTGCAACAAGAAAATAAATATTGGAACCATCGTGTGTTCCCAGCACCATATATTCTATGTATCATGAGTTTGTACACTCCAAAAGCAGTTAACAGATATTAGCTAATCAAACTGTTCCCATTCCTGGGTGACTTTTGTAGGAGATGGCATTGGGGCAGGGGCATTAAGACTTCCAACACCAGTTTCAAATGTTTCCCACTGGGTTGTCACCGACACAGCATTGGAGCTGTTGCCAATGGGTTCAGAATTTTTTGCCTTAAGTGAATCCATTGTGTCCACAAAGCTCTGTACCCGACGTACCTGAACATATAGTTATAAGTTAATTATTGCAGTTTTATTTTGTAGTATAAATAATTTCAGATCTATTAAGTGACTAGATCTCTCTGTGAACACATTATTCTTGTCTTCACCAGTCAAGTCAACTGTCTCTCGCCACTATTGTGTGGTAGCGGATATAACAACAGAATAGATAAAATGCATAATTCACCAGCATCAATTAGACATTGATGTAAAGAAAATTCTCATCCCAATGTAAACATTTTTTTCCGAGTGTTATCCATAGCGGCAATTAACAAAAGATGATTGCAACATACATGATCAAAACAGTTACCTTAACGGCGTTACATACTAACCTCCATCTTTCGCTGCACTTTTCCTTCTCCTTCAGCCTCAATGCTGTCCAATTTCAGCAGCTGTTTCATGAGCATCTCCGTTATGTAAATAATATCATGCTCCGCGACCTTCGTCCCATCGCATACAACAGCTTCCAAAGCAGAAATCTACATAAAATAAATTAAGTCTCAAAGCTAATAGGGTACACAATGAAAACATTAAAAAAGGATTTACCTGTTCTGAGAGTTTATCCACCTCGGATCTGACTTCAGCAACAGCTGCATCACCTCTTGATAACTCACTCCTAGCCTTTACCACTTCAGGCTTCCTTTCTTTGCTCACTGAATCCTCCATGAGTAGTACCTTTGAATTGTCCTTCAGGCCTGCCAAGTGCAAATATTCCTGATCCTCTTTTTCCATTCCTCTGAACAACAGTTTTTGCTCTTCTGGCTCCAAACCAGTTTCTTGGGAAATAGCTCTTTTCAGATCTCCTGCATTAATAGTAGCATACAATTCAATAAGCACAGAAAATCCAAAACACCTTGCCGAAATAATGATGTACTTCAATGTTTTTAGAACACATTTTATAGTTAGTTACGATTGACTCGGTCCCAATAACATGTGCATTTTCAATTTCAACATCAATAAGTATGTCACATGGAACAATGTGTTTAACAGAGGGATGTATTAGAGCTATTGCCCTGATAAGTGTGGTTTTCATCTTTTCGTCCAAAACCGGGTGGTTTTGAACTTGATTCCCAAACTCATGCATTTTAGAGAAATTGTGTTTGGCTCAAACTCACATTGAAGAAACACAATTTTAACCTAAAAAGTACAAAGTAAAAAAAAAATAAGTAGGTTACAGTAGTGCATTCAGAAAAGTGCATGGGTTGAGAAATAAGTTCAAATAATTCAATTTTGGATAAAGAAATCAGGGCAATGAATCCTATTTCCTACTCCCACACACTAGCAAAATCACAAATTTCTTGTTTCACACACTACTTTGAGCACAACACACACACACACCCCCCCCCCCCCCCAACCCAAACCAAACAAAAATGCTTCCATACCAGCAGAATAAATATACATCAATATTGACATTAAGAGCCCACAAAGAAAAAATTTGCATGTATTACAGAACATCTGAAAATTATATATCAAATGTAAAAATTGAAGATGAAATGACCCAAACAATTTCAGAGGTCATAACCTCACATGAGACACATGAAAATACACAAATTCCACTACAAATAATTGAAAGGTGAAGGCATATACTCATCAATCTCACAGATGACCAAGGTTACAAAAACAAACACAGTGGTTACAACACCCATAAACTCAAATTGATTCAAATCTCAAAGTCAACAACCATTTTTTTTCCTAATTTGGCTTATGTTTTTCTGTTGGGGTGAGGTGTTGATCTAAGAACTGTCAAATCTATCTAATAGGAAATTGAATCCTAAACTTATAAAAGTACAACAACGGTTAAAATTGATTCAATTTTTATCTAACTTTGATTCAATTATACAAAATTCATCTCAATTTTTTTTCACGCTCATAAAATATTTTCTTCTCTGGACAACCCCAATGTCAAACAACTCAACCAACATTCTGCCGAACACAACTACTTCTCTTCCTTAATTTAAAAAATAAAAAAATATATATATTATTTAAAACATAAATATTATATGATCAATGTTCCATTAGACATGGGTGATTGCTAGTGCATATATAAAACATAAAAACCTCTAGGGTTAAGTTTGTTCCTGAGTATAGTACATGAGAGTATACTTTGAACATAAAGGTAGTTGCACAGATGTACAAATTAACAACAATAAAAGAGAGAAAATTTAGTGAGAATGAGAGATACCAGAACAAAGTAATGGGGCAGATACTCACAAAATTACCACAACTACTCCGAATCTTTAAGTACCCACTACGTGAAAAGCTGTGTTTTTTTTGGTGTTCTTTGATAAATGACAAAAACCCTGTTTGTTTTTATGAAAGTATAAAAACTAACGGTCTCCCATTCAGGCGTTGTCTTTCCTTCAATTCTGTTTCATTTACTCAAAACCAACAATCTGGGAAACAAAAAGATAGAAAATTTTCAGAAGAAAGAAGAAATTTACCAAAGGTAGACTGGAAGGGAACAGTGAGGTCGTGCTGGTTCGACCCATGAGAGACCTTAATCTTAATTGAATGCCCACCACCACCATGATCATAACCATCGTCTCTCTTCTGAACAAGCATGCCACCTGGCCTCATCTCCCACTCGATCCCGTCGTTTTCATTGGTGCTGCCACCTTGCACTACTGCCCCTATCGAATTCGAGCCTTCCATTCCTAAATCTTAAAAACACCCAGAACGCAAAAAGGGAATTTTTTTCAAGCAAAGGAGAAATTTTCTGCAACTGAGGGTTTTGCAGCGATGGATGAGGGTGAGGAGCAAGTTTTATTCACGGGGACAGTCGGTGGCGATGGTGTTTACAACATTATTAGGTGGGTCCGGAGTTGACATTCGGACCGACTTTGACCCGAATATCCTCCAACGGGTTTGTTTTTATGAACTGAATTTGCAGATTGTAGTTCGACTAGTTGTGTCCGTGTAAAACACATTTTTTTTTAATTTATGAGTTGAGTTATTATGATTAAAAAATTAAAAATTAAAATTTAAGTAAGTTATTATAATTAAAAGATAAAATTTAAATGAATTATCATATTTAAAAAGTTAAAAATTTAAATTTAAATAAGTTATTGTAACTAAAAGGTTAAAAGATATTAATCGTTGGATCGAAACGATCTATGCTATTGTTATATTTTTCTAATTGAGAAGCGTAAACAGTTCAACTAGAAGACTCTATTTTATTAATATAGATTTTAATCGATTTTATTCAATTATCTTATAATTTTAACACATACACTCTATCACTTTCATCTAAGGTGGTCAAGTGATTGTGATTAAGCCAACCTTGGGTCATACTCTTCATCGAGCTCGAGTTACGGTAATTGATACAAAAGTTTGAGAAAATAGTCAACGTAAACTTAGACAACTTGTAGCAAAAAATAAAAAGAAAAAAGAATACTCTCATCTAGATGTGATAAATTGATGGATTGAATTGGTTATGAGATTGAATCAAACTGGATTGAGTGCAAAACAAATTTAATTTGTTTTTAACCCATGTCTCATCTAAAGCATGTCTTTTTTTAATCTTCATTCAAATATTTACTGTATTTATTATAATTAGAAGATAAGTGTGATTGAAATATTTATTATAATTAAAATGTTAAAGATAAATAAATAGATTTATTGTGTTTAAAAGTTAAAATGTAAATTACAATATTCATTGTTGAGTCAAAGCAATATAACCCATTATTATGCTTTATGGTATAACCCTTCTATTTTATTTTATTTATAATATGAAAAAAATATTTAATATTTTACAATCATAGTTGTAGATTTAGATTCAACTCTAAAATATGAGATCACATATTTTAATTAATTCGTCAAAAATATTTATGCACGTCGAAGCTCAAATTCAAATCCAAATTCTTTATCCATTCACAATCTCAAAGTCAAATCAAAATTAATTATGTCAATTACTCGAATTTTGATTCTAATCCGATACAAATTTAGAAGATGGATGCAATTGGTATTATTGAACGTGTATCCAAACCAAACTTCTAAAATATAGGCGGGTCATCGCACAGACTCTGATGACCAATCTTAGACTTAATTTGGAGCCCCATTTAGCTGTTGTTACTAATGTTGTAGATTTAGATTCAACTCTAAAATATGAGATCACATATTTTAATTAATTCGTCAAAAATATTTATGCACGTCGAAGCTCAAATTCAAATCCAAATTCTTTATCCATTCACAATCTCAAAGTCAAATCAAAATTAATTATGTCAATTACTCGAATTTTGATTCTAATCCGATACAAATTTAGAAGATGGATGCAATTGGTATTATTGAACGTGTATCCAAACCAAACTTCTAAAATATAGGCGGGTCATCGCACAGACTCTGATGACCAATCTTAGACTTAATTTGGAGCCCCATTTAGCTGTTGTTACTAATATTATATTGGACCTCGGTGTTTAATGAGATCCATTTCACCCCCACCGATTAGATCGCAATATAATAAGAAAAATGTTATTTGAATATAATTTGAAGAATTAATTTAATACAATCTTTAGATTAGAAGTATGGTCTATCTAATATAGGAACTGCATTAAATTAGGTTTCTATAACATTGTTCATACTTTTTTTGGTTCAATATTCAGGGGTGTGTGGACCAGTTTATATACATTTTAACTAATCTCATTTCTAGTCCAGTCAAGTACAGAACAAACTATCGACTCTAAAACTAGGGTATTTATAAAAGATAAATTTTTCATACCTTAATCCAAAAGGGTATAACATTGCTCATACAATAATGTTGTTAGAACTTAATTTATTAACATAATCTATCATAACTATTTGGATCAATTGCATATACCAATAAATATTAGGACTCAACTAGTCAATTTAATAAGAACAAAGAAAAAAAACAAAAATAAGAAATAAAAGTATTTTTTTGGGAGGAGGGAGGAGTTAAAAAAGGTTGACATACATGTTTATGCTAAGGATAATCGAAAGAGATGAGTAGGATAAGCGAATGGAATAAAAAGAACCCGAACAACCTGTTAACAAATGGACCAATCCATTTGACAGAGGGTAGGTGGAGTAAAATGCTCTTACCAACCAAGTAAAAATTTCATCATCCTCTGTGGACAAGTAATGTGAATGTTTATAGTGTAATGTTTGGACAGGTCGAATTGCCCGAAGGGCTACCTACTGCGACCCCTAACACTCATGCTAACTCACAACTGCCTTGATCATAGTGATACTAGTGGCCACCTAACTGCTAGTTACGTGTCCCAATGTTAACTAGACAGATGTGGCGTTTTTCCAAACGCAATTTGGACATGGGTTTGGGGAGGGTGCGACAGTCGAGGTGAAAGGGGGCTCCCAAGGTTAATGATAGCGACTAGTCACCAATGGACCATGACCTCAAGAGGATCATGTACGCGATGTCCCAAGTGCACTTTTTTTCGGAGTCCTCCCTTCCCTTTTTAAACCCTTTATTGAGACATTTGTTGAAGTGCCTAATAGAGGAAACTCAAATAGTTTCGGTTCTTTAGCCACCAATTCATATCTCCTATTATCCCATATGTTGATCCAGACCAATAATCTCAGCTACTTTAGGGGTCCTTTTGGATCCTAATCAAGCACATCCTAGTGAACAGTGATCCATACATTGGGAGACCTACTCGAGTAGACTAAACTTTCAAAACCCTATCCTAGGCCAAGGTCGATAATCATACTAACTTGTCCCTAGGTGGAGATCCCTCCTTTTAGTCTAGTGGTCAAGTTGAGCAATAATGTCCAATAAGTTGAGGATACCACTCCTGTAGTGGGGGAGGCGAGTATGAGGTTACCTCCAAACTTTTGTGGTTCCACTCTTGTCCATCCTTGGTAAAAGATTCATTTGGTCAGTTCCAATACGATGGGGATGTGTTTCGCCCTGTTGCGCCTGGGGCATCGCGCCAAAGGGCGTAGTGCCTAAGGCATCGCATTGAATGTCAAGCCTAAGGGTTATCACACCTTGTATTATTATTTATACCAGTCCAACTAGTTCTTGTCAGGCCCCACTGCCATGTATGTTGTTAACTCTTACCATTTGTCCCTTTATAGTATGGACACGTGTCCTGAATTTATCGAATACTACAATATGTAGTATTGTTTTTGGATTATTGTTGAAACTAACTTACATTGAGTTAGTGCACGGGATGATTCCTGCAATCTTGTAAGGTAGTGATCCCTTGATTAGCGAACCTGCAAAGACAGGGTTAGAAGAAAGGGGGCCAAGCGTGAGCCCGACGGATCCCCTCCGAAGCTTAAGTTAGTAAGATCGAAGAGCTATTTCTTAGTAGACGTACTTTGGTTTGATTTTGCGTACCTTTGTCCATTTTTCTGAAAGATATTTATACCTGAATTAGCAATGATTGCTCTAGATCTTCAGTCCCATCTGGACATCCCACATCTGACACACTATCCCTCGTGTTGTGAATGCTTCCCCTTTACGCCTCCTCCAATTGAATGTTAGGGGAATGGTGTAAGTGCTCGGCCACAAGCCGAGCATTTATACTACGAGCCGAGCATCCCAATCCAAGAGGTTGGCGTCTGACACCGACAGAGCACGGAATACTCGACGGATCAGGGAACTCAGGAGAACCAATCACGTTGTCTCGGCGCATCAGTTATTAATGCTTCAACCATCATGACAGTAGTCATAGACTTGTAAAGAACAATTAACGGCAGGGTCACATTTATTTGTCTTGTCACTATCACTCATTTCACCATAAATGTGAATTCATATCACTTTGATTATTATACCAGCTGTTGTCCTTAGCCGCTTTGTGTTGCCACGCCTCGGCTCACCCCCTCGGCATCTTCCAGACATCCTAATGACTTTATTGGGCCACGTGTCACCCTTGGGGTTGAGGATCCATACAAGAGTCCCGTCAACTGCCCCCCAGCTGCAATCCCTTACGCTGCGTTCGATAAATGGAGTGATGGTATTGGGGCTTTATCACCATGCTTCATTAATGGCGATGGTTACTTGCACGTCTGGTGCCACCTTTTTCAAATGCCCTAATGATGAGCCAACTCCTCAATTCTCACTCCTTGCTCGGCACTATAAATAGGGAGTTTCTCTGCTTTCTTAGAACTTTTGCATCTTTCATCTCTCCTCAGCAATCAGACCCCGAGTGCTCTCCTGTCCTCCGAGTTTCTCTGGTCCTCCGAGCTCTCTCCGAAGACCAACCTCCTATAAATACTTCCACTTGAGTTTTTTCTTTTTTCGTTTCTTCTTTATTTTGCCCTCTTAGCTCCGACCGATGACCAGAACTAGTAGAACTGGGGAGAAAACGTCTGTTAGGGCCAGTAATACCCGCAAAATGAGGAGAACCCAAGTTACAGACGAGAACATCCACACCTTTAGGGTCAGGTACCATATTTGCAAGCTTGTCCTCACCTTCCCCTTCAATCCTACTCACCATAGAAGGGACATGGGAAGTGAGGATATGATGCCTTTCTGGACAAAGGCTATCATGGAAGGAGGGTTGACCTTCCCCCTCCATCCCCTGTTGTTGGGAGTCCTGATGCAATTGAATCTCTTTCCCCTTCAATGCAGGGTTAACTTCTTTAGGATTGTGATGGGCGTAGTCGCCTTAAACACTCGACTTGGGACTAACTTGGGGGTAGACGAAATTTTGTTCTGCTATGACCTAAGG